AATGCTTTGCGATTTCTTGCTGCTGGCCTTGCAAGCAACTGAAACGTCTGCTTGCATGCCTAGGGCTCAGCTGGCTGACTCCACTGCAAGTGTAGTTCAGGCTGTCAAACACGCGCTTGGCCCTCGCACTCCTGTTCTCAGGAATGTTGCTTGTGGTGGGGGTGGGCAAAACGAAGCAAAAGTGATACGCTAGACCCGCGGGCCTGAAGATCTCCACCATCTCTGACTCGCCGCACTGGGAGTGGCCGTTGCTCGTGCACGTATTGTTGCAGTTGGCGCCGAGCGCCCCAACGACCCATTCCCCAGCCTTCGGATGGGAAGGGGCCAACCCTCTGAACTCACGCCAACCCAAACGGCCCAAAACTTGGCTAGACCGGATCCAGTCAAGAGACCCCTACTGTCGTGGTCAGGGTCGTGCTGTTGCACTGGCAGATTGGCTGCAACGTTGCCGCAACGGTGTTGGCACAGCTCGCCTGTGCAGGCAACTACCGGAGCCCGAGAGAATTAAAGATGAGAAAGCCAGAGCTTCTGTCAACCGCGCCTGTCCGGAAATCCGGTGACATTGCCCGGTGCTGGGATTGTAGGCCGGGGAGTTGCTGGAAGTGCTGTGGGAGCTGCAAGAACTGTTCAAGCCCATCATCAACCGTGAGATTCTCGGACGGGTCGTAAGCTTGCCAGTCTCCACCTCGTCGCAACCTGCATATCCCTTGAATTCGCACAGGTCGTCGCAGCTGTCGCCAAGCTCGCCGAGGAACCACAGAGCCTGAACAAACGTCACGCAAAGCTCAGAGCACGAGCGCAGGGCTATTCTGCAGCCGGGCGACCGACAGCGTCGTTGTGGACGTGGTGCCACTGCAGCGGCACACAGGCTGATACGGGTACGCGGCCCTGTCGCAATCGAGGCTTCCCGACATGTACCAACACCTCTCCAGGTCCTTCCTGTATGCCGGGAAGTTGCTCAACGGACTGTTACCAAAAGACGCGCAGCTCGTGTTCAGGAAGTCCATCACACGCGACATCTTCGGCTGCCTCACGAGTCCTCCGGTCTTCTCGGCATCGCAACCGGTGTAGCCCTTGAACTGACACAGGTCGTTGCAGCTGTCTTCCTCCTCACCCACAAACCAATGGGCCTGTCACGACAACAGGCACATGGAAAAAATGAGTCCCGCAGCTCTACATAGCGGACGCCTATGACAGATCGAGCCCATTCTCTTGCATGGTTTGCCAGCGCACGCTGCAGTCAAGCGGCCAGCGTCGTCGTTGAGGTAGTGTTGCTGCAATGGCAGATGGGCCGATACCCCACGCGATCCGCATCGCAATTAAGGGTTCCTGACATGAAGAAGCACTTCTGGTTTTCGGTGTATGCCGGGAAGAGGTTGCTCAACGGACTGTCAGCAAAAGATGCGCAGCTCGTGTTCAGGAAGTCCATCACCCGTGACACTCTTGGCCGCCTGATTAGCTCTGCAGTTTTCTCGGCATCGCAACCCGTGTAGCCCTTGAACTGGCACAGATCGTTGCAAGTGTCTTGGGAGTCCCCCACAAACCAACGATCCTGCGCTTGTCGCAAGCAAAATCAGGCCAAGTTCATGAATCCAATCAGGAAGCAATGCAACATGTTGCTGCCATCGCTGACACGAATGATTTCTGGCGCCCTAACAACCCCTCTGTTCTGGCAGTTCCAACACAACCGTACGCACAGCACGCACGTTAGCACCCAGACTGATGCCATCGAGCGACCGACAGCGTCGTTGTGGACGTGGTGCCACTGCAGCGGCACACAGGCTGATACGGGTATGCGGCCCTGTCGCAATCGAGGCTTCCTGACATGTACCAGCACCTTTGCAAGTCCTCCCTGTATGCCGGGAAGAGGTTAGTCAAGGGAGCACTGCCGAAGGTGCAGCTTGTGTTCAGAAAGTCCATGACCTCCGACATGTTCGGCTCGTTGACGAGCTCCGCTGTCTTCTCTGTGTCGCAACCTGGGTAGCCCTTGAACTGGCACAGGTCGTTGCAACTGTCCTCCACCTCACCGACGAACCACGGAACCTCTGTTGG